AATTATAATATTGCTTACTCATCATGTCCACTATTACACATGCTCAGGGGAAAGGTCTTTACCTGGGTAAGGGTCTATTCGACCTATGAATGTGATTTTTAGTATCATAATGTAGACAGTTCACTTAAGCAGACATAGACCTTGGGTTTTCCTGCCAAGTTTGCAATCAATTTAATGGAACTTCATGGCTTGGCAGTTCCAGGTTGCCCTTGGTTAAGGAATGCTCACTGCTCTACTGGCAAGTGTCCTCCTTCCTACCAAAATACAGGGGACATATGTTCTGCTTAGTTTAAACAATGTAAAACATCTTTCAACACCCCCACAGCCTCTGCTGGTACGGAAGCATGCATTTCCCAGCTCTCTTGCATTATTTAAGCTGTCAGTTGTTAATTATAGCACTGCATTCCAGTTTGATGCTTCCCAGGGGTCCAAACCACACGAAAACCAGGCAGTACAAGCAGCTCCCAGCTGAATTCCCTCCCAGCCTGAGCTCAGTCCCTGTCTTCATCACCCAGGGCAAGGCATTTCCTATCACTCTGAGCACACTGGGGAGACTTGAACACCACCTAAGACCTGCGTCTGTGCTCTTTCCTTAGCTCTTACTCTCCTAACTAACCTTTCCTACTCACTGGATGGGAAGCACAGCTTTAGGGGATGTTAAATTGGTCTTCTCTGTAGTCTAGAGATAAACATCTCCTTGCCTATCCCCCTGCCAGCTCCAAATCTCTTGATGAGGAAGGAAAGAGCAGAGGGAGGTTGCACAGTCTCATCTATCTGAGGATGCCTGGAAGTTCAGAGCAGGGAACCCTGTGGCCTCCGCTGCATCCAGCTGATGTGCAGAGCAAGATAGAACCACTCTCCATCCCACCCCAAACTCCCTGGCTGCAAAACCTCTGCTGCCAGCCAAATGAGGTGTCTCAGTCACATCACTATGGCCACCAAGCTTGAGGGACTTGGCATAACCCTCCTGAAGCAGAAGGTGTTGCTAAGCAGTTGCTAAGCAAGTGGTCAAGTCAAGAGAGAATAAGCAAATAAGGAACTGCTGTGACGTCTCTGCTTTCCAGCTTCTAACACCCATTTGCCACAAATGGCCACAGAAACACCTACCTCAAAGGCAGAAGCAAATGTTCAAA